TTTTTACTCCTATGTTTCTCCCTTCATCGTGTACAATTCAAGACCTTATTATGTTTCTACAAGTTGCTTACTTTTCTGAAAACATGGTACAAATACTGTGATGTTTGTCAACTTGATTCTAACTGGAATTAACAAAAAATGAGCACTCACCTCTGAGGGATTTTTGGTTTAAGTAGGACATTCACTTTAATGAAGATTTCTGAAGTAGGAAGGCAAAGTTACAATCCACATATTTTGGACTGAGAAAATCATCCTGAGCCATGCCTTCTCCTGGAAGCCTATATAATGACTTGGAAGAAAGTTTTTGCTTTTTGCCTCACTAGCAAGTCAATTTCTTCACTGGCATTAGAAACTGATTTTTGGGATTCTGCTCTCTACTGAAGACCAGTTGAGACATGCAGCTTTAGGACAGATAGCTGCTGGATTCTTGAATTTTCTATTCATAGGCAGCCATTGTAGGATTACACAGACCATAGTATGTAAGTCATTATAATAAAATTCTAATAAATTAAACACCCCCTCTCTGTGTCTCATTTCAGTGTGTAAAATCTGTTACCATAGAGAATCCTAACACCTCACCTTTTCCATAGAATACATTAAAATTTCCAGTTGCAAATCCATTGTGTGGCATTTCTCATATTACCCATGAAACCAACCACCATTTACAAAGCAACAAAATCTCTCTCTTCTCCCTTCATCCCCTCACTTGTCTCCCTTTGTCTACCTTCAGATCCTCCTCACATTCCCCTGCCCCTCTGACATCTCTTCATTTCTCTCTCTGTGACCATCCCACTGTCTATTCCTTACCATCTCTCTTCAACTAAATGCTCTGTCCCTCCGCCTCCATGTCAATGTGCACCCTATTTAAACATCTCCATCTCACTTTTCCTCCCTCCTCACTTTTATCAACCTAACCCTCCACACCCCCACCCTCAAGGTCATCCTTCCTCTTCTTCCTCTGTCACAAATAGTCTCACTACATATCCATGGCTAACCTGGGGCTCTTTAAGTAGCCCAGTCTGGCACTGAACACACAGAAATCCTCTAGTCACTGCTTCATGAGCATGTTTTGGGAAGGAGTGTAGAATTAAATTGTGGTTGACATGGGCAAATATTCTTGCCACATTTGACCTCAATGTCAACAGCATAAATATGATATATCACGAATGTGAGCAACTATTTTATTTAAAATGCATGTGTTCATCAATATATATGTATATCTGCACTACAAAATTGTTAGGAAATGAAACATGTATGTCGAATGTTCATGAGTATAGAAGATCAGATGTAGCGTTACTAAATAAGTAGAAGAGGTAACACTAAATATAAACATATTTTAGTCAGGATTCTCTAGAGTGAAAGAACTTCTAGGATGAATATCTCCCTATATAAAAAAGGGGGTTAATTAGAATGACTTGCGTGATAATCCAGCTATTGTCTAATCTAACAATGGCTGTCCATAATTGGAAAGTGCAAGGATCCAGTAGTTGCTCAGGGAAGAAGGCTAAACATCTTAGCTGGTCTTCAGTGTATCCTGGAATTGCTAAGAAGTAGGCTCTACTGACAGTGAGTAAATAAACTTGCTATCAACACCAGAGCAAGGAGTTGAATGTTAAAATCTGGCTTCTTCTCTGGCCCCAGATAGGCTTCCA